CTCGCTGCAAAGCCATGGACTAAAGAGTGAGTACAAACAACAGTTTAGTGTTTATTTAAAGGTTTTAAAGTGATTGTAATCTGTATTTCAGTGTGCTTTGTCACGTTTTATTTTGAGAACAGCCTTGCTAGCTTGGCTACGAACTAGCATTTCTTGTTTGTCAACAGCTGTAGAGCTAACTGTGTAAATCAGTTACATTCTGATTAAACACAGAGGGCTAAGATGGATGACTGCTTTATATCTGAAAGATGTGCCAACAGAAATGTGTTGAACTACCTTTCCGCCATTACAGCATTTAACAGTGATGTTTGTACTGTAGAAGTTGTTAGTTTATTATTTTTTAATTATTTAATTATTTGCTTGCTGTTTGTAATATTATATGGATTTATTTTAATGATTTTTCCAAATTTGTAATTCTTTGTGTTTTTTTTCAAGTAATAAAATATTAAATTATATTACATTTTTTATGGAAAGTATATTGGGAACATGGTGATTTTTAACCTTGCTTAAAAATATGTATGAATCTCATAAGGAAATGATCTTATCTGCAATTATCTAATTGACATGCAAGAACCACATTCATACAAGAAAGGGAACCAGACAAAGGAAATGTCCTCAAAATAAGTGACAAAGTAAAAATGTATATGCTAAATAAATATATTAAATATAAATATAAGTACTTTATATGAGATCTTCCTTATCTTCCTAAATCTCTACTGTTTCTCTGTGCATTTTAATAAAGATTAAACACTTGCATATGTAATATACCTGATATTTTCCCCTCTATTTTAGATCTTCCTAAATCTCTCCAGTTCCCCTGTGCATTTGAACACAGATGAACCCTTTTTAGGTGTAATATATGTAATATGTCCCCCTCTTTCCCCCACAGTCACCACTACTTTAAGTACTGCAAGGTGTCGGCTCTGGCCCTTCTGAAGATGGTGATGCACGCGCGGTCGGGGGGGAACCTGGAGGTTATGGGTCTGATGCTGGGGAAGGTAGACGGAGAGACCATGATGATTATGGACAGCTTCGCGCTGCCGGTGGAGGGAACAGAAACACGCGTCAACGCTCAGGCTGCGGCGTACGAGTACATGGCCGCGTACATCGAGAACGCTAAACAGGTGGGAGGAAGAGGCATTCATTCTGTTCAGTTACGGTGTTTAAAAACATATTTTTGGGGCGTATTTCTTTCAATTATTCAGGGAAATCTACTTTAATGTTTTCTATGTGGAGAACGCAAAACAGGTCGGACACATTTCATGATGAGAGAGGGGGAAACATCTGCATTCATTCTGTTCAGTTACGGTGTTTAAAACCATATTTTTTGGGCCAATTAAATTCAAATTGTTTAATTAAATCTACTTTAATGTTTGCAATGTGGATTAGACTGCACCGATATGAGTGTTAAGCCCATACATGTGACGCTTTAACACTGGGAGCTACTGCTTTATTATGCTTTGTTGTATTAAGAGATACAAGAGACTTTATTCTGCAGCACATCCAGAACATGGAGGAATGACACGAAGGGGTTGAAAAGCAGGTCAGACAGATTTCATGATTTAGAGATGATGAGAGAGGAGGAAGCACAACATCTGCATTCATTCTGTTCAGTTACGTTGTTTTCAATTTAAAAAATGTAGCCAATTAAATTAATTAATGAACCTTAATGTTTGCAATGTGGACTAGACTGCACCTATATGAGTGTTCAAGCCCTTAAAGGAGACGCTTTATACAGTTTGGTACCAATAACACTGGGAGCTACTGCTTTATTATCCTTTGGTGTATAAAATATACAAAAGGCTTTATCTGTAAGCAGTGCAGTACATAGAGGAATGAATGAGATGTGTTATTAGGCCTTCTTGGGATACCGTCTTGTAATGCTGGTTTTGTAATGGTGGAATGAAATGGGGATCATTTTGCAGCACTAATTGTTTCACGGGTTCATCCCCTGTGTTAAATATCCCTGTGTGTTTACCTTCTGTCATAGTAAATATGTGCTTTTTAATTTAATTGTGTTGACATATGATCTCTCTATTGAATTAGGGCTTCAACGTATGATTACTTTATAGATTATTGCCAATTATTTATAAGTCTAGTTTGAAGTAGCACATTTCCAGAAAAAGAGAACACAAACCCCTTCAGTCAACACAATGCAATAAAAACATGTGATTTGTACGTTGATTATATTTACCGCTGTGCTTCCTGTGCGTCAGGTGGGCCGTCTGGAGAACGCTATTGGCTGGTACCACAGTCACCCTGGATACGGATGCTGGCTCTCAGGAATCGACGTCAGCACTCAGATGCTCAACCAGCAGTTCCAGGAGCCCTTTGTGGCCGTCGTGGTGAGGGAAACGCCTATTATACTATTTTAGGCATTTATTATAGGTCTCTGATAAATACAAATATATAAAAAACATGTCTATGAAGTGTTATGTATGTTATGTATGTATAAACAGACATTAAAAAAAGTGCATTTTTCATGATAGGAGACATTTTTTATTTCATCTCCCTAATCCTTGATATGTGTGATGGAGGACTTTCCCTCTCCATGCAGCATGTTGTGTGTTTACACTTCATGCTGCGAGGCCGCGGGCGACTGTAATGAAGTGTGTGTTCTCACACTCTGACAGCCCAGTTCAGAGTGCTGGTGGGCAAATGGAGCGCTCCCTGGAGATTACTGTGACCTCTGACCTCTGTTTCCCTTTTCTACTGTATCTCAGATTGACCCCACCCGCACCATTTCTGCAGGGAAAGTCAACCTGGGCGCCTTTCAGGACCTACCCCAAGGTACATGCATTACTGATTCAAGGCTTTATTGGTCATTTGAACATACAGTGATGTGAGTGACGAGCCATGGAGCTGACTGAGCAAAGCTGTCACAAGGCAACAGGGGGTTTAGGGTCAGGGTTAGGGTCAGGGTTTGGGTTAGGAGAATAGGGTTAGGGGTAGGGTTAGGAGAATAGGGTTAGGGTTAGGAGAATAGGGTTAGGGGTAGGGTTAGGAGAATAGGGTTAGGGTTAGGGTTAGGAGAATAGGGTTAGGGTTAGGGTTAGGAGAATAGGGTTAGGGTTAGGAGAATAGGGTTAGGAGAATAGGGTAGGAGAATAGGGTTAGGAGGAATAAGGAGAATAGGGTAGGAGAATAGGGTTAGGGTTAGGAGGAATAGGGTAGGAGAATAGTGTTAGGGTTAGGGTTAGGAGAATAGGGTTAGGTAGGTAGGAGAATAGGGGTTAGAAGGGTTAGGTAGAAGGTTAGGAGAATAGGGTTAGGGTTAGGAGAATATTCAATCATATTCTTGATTGTTTCCACTTGTTTTTTTACTAGATAATTCCATACGTGTTCTTTTATAGTTTTGATGTCTTCAGTGCTAATCTACAATGTAGAAAATAATTAAAATAAATAAAAACCTTCCAATGAGCAGGTGTGTCCAAACTTTTGACTGGTACTGTATATATATATATATATATATATACACATCATATAAAAATGTAATATAATGGTACACACAGCGGACATAAGTTAATGTTTATATATGTATATTATACAATAGCTATGTGAATATATTTTATTTGTATTTTAAGTGAATTTCTCCGTCACAGATTCTCTAATCGTTCCATATCCTAATGCATAATCCAGAATAAATACTCTTATAATTGCCTGTTTATCACATTAGATTACCCATTATAATGACTGTAATAGTAATGATGTGTTTGTGGTACAGTTTGTTGTTATTTACCTGCATTTGTTTGTGTTGTCAGGGGTACAAACCCCCGGATGAGGGACCCTCAGAGTACCAGACCATCCCCTTAAACAAGATCGAAGACTTCGGGGTTCACTGTAAACAGTATGTATTGATATATTCTACTCGCCTCTTTTAGCAGTTAAGTCCTGGTGAACCTTCACTTTGATACTCTCCATGTTACACAGGTTTATAACCTGCATTTCATTACAATGTGTGCAGGTTTATTCAAAATGTGACTGTAATAACTATAGAGAATCCACTGTGTAGTTATTATCTTCTCTCTAAACCTTTACAGTGTGTTATCTCTAAACCTTTACAGTGTGTTATCTCTAAACCTTTACAGTGTGTTCTCTCTAAACCTTTACAGTGTGTTATCTCTAAACCTTTACAGTGTGTTCTCTATAAACCTTTACAGTGTGTTCTCTATAAACCTTTACAGTGTGTTATCTCTAACCTTTACAGTGTGTTATCTCTAAACCTTTACAGTGTGTTCTCTCTCTAAACCTTTACAGTGTGTTCTCTATAAACCTTTACAGTGTGTTCTCTATAAACCTTTACAGTGTGTTATCTATAAACCTTTACAGTGTGTTCTCTATAAACCTTTACAGTGTGTTCTCTATAAACCTTTACAGTGTGTTATCTCTAAACCTTTACAGTGTGTTCTCTATAAACCTTTACAGTGTGTTCTCTATAAACCTTTACAGTGTGTTATCTATAAACCTTTACAGTGTGTTCTCTATAAACCTTTACAGTGTGTTCTCTATAAACCTTTACAGTGTGTTATCTCTAAACCTTTACAGTGTGTTCTCTATAAACCTTTACAGTGTGTTCTCTATAAACCTTTACAGTGTGTTATCTCTAGTTATTTAGCGTGTCTTCTCTATAAACCTTTACAGTGTGCTATCTCTAAACCTTTACAGTGTGTTATCTCTAGTTATTTAGCGTGTCTTCTCTATAAACCTTTACAGTGTGTTCTCTATAAACCTTTACAGTGTGTTATCTCTAAACCTTTACAGTGTGTTCTCTATAGACCTTTACAGTGTGTTCTCTCTAAACCTTTACAGTGTGCTATCTCTAGTTATTTAGCGTGTCTTCTCTATAAACCTTTACAGTGTGCTATCTCTAAACCTTTACAGTGTCTTCTCTCTAAACCTTTACAGTGTGTTATCTCTAAACCTTTACAGTGTGTTATCTCTAGTTATCTAGCGTGTCTTCTCTCTAAACTCTGCGTGTTTCCCTGCAGGTATTACGCTCTGGAGGTCACCTACTTCAAGTCGTCTCTGGACAGGAAGCTTTTGGAGTTGCTCTGGAATAAGTACTGGGTGAACACGCTCAGCTCCTCCAGCCTCCTGACGGTACGGAGCTTCAAACGCTGCTAATTGTTGGACATGTTGATTAATGGTTAATTATTGCTCTATAACTCATGCAGACGTGCGCTGAGTCGTGGTGACTCAGTGATTAATTACACAGAGCCGCTGTTTGTTGCTTTAGGTAATAAGCCTCATGTAGAGAGAGAGGAGGTACAGTGAGTGTTGGAGGGGTTTATTAGGGGATTAAAGATGTGATTCATCGTCACAGGAGAGACGGGGAGAGCAGAGGGTGAAACACAGCTTACAGGGTTTATCGGGTTAGTTAGGAGACTTTATGATGACCTTAATTAGGGTTAGTTAGGAGACTTTATGATGACCTTAATTAGGGTTAGTTAGGAGACTTTATGATGACCTTAATTAGGGTTAGTTAGGAGACTTTATGATGACCTTAATTAGGGTTAGTTAGGAGACTTTATGATGACCTTAATTAGGGTTAGTTAGGAGACTTTATGATGACCTTAATTAGGATTATTTGTTTGCTTTACACTGAAAATAGTGTCGAGTAAAAGATGTGTCCAATCTGTGATACAGTTGTTTTATTAACTAAAGGTAAGGTTAATTGTTTTTAGAGATTAGTAGTGCTATTTAAGAGTTGAAAGGCATGTTAATTAATATATATAATAATAATTAATCTGATTTATTTTAATCTATATTTTAGTTAGAGTTAGGGTTCATAATCATCAGTAAAATACAATCAGGATTTACATGAAAATAAAAAATGTAAATCTGTATAAGCCTAATATTGGCTTCTGAATTGAATGTAAGGTGAAGGGATCCCAAGTGTCTTTCAATGTTATGTTAAGAATTTAAAGGATTTGTGGAGTACATTTGATCATATACGTCCACACACCCCCCTGTAGAGATTAAGTGATCCCAATGTTATTTTAAGAAATTAAAGGTTTGTTTTATTATTATTGGAGTTAATTTGATCATATTTTACATATTATATTTATTTAAAATGGGCACAGAGCATTTGAACATGTGGGAGGTTGCAAACATCACTATATGTGTGTCATATAAGTGCAGCTATTTTGTCCCAAGACGGTAAATGTTGATATTCCTCAAACCCCCCCCCCCGTAGAGATTGAAGCTCATTGTGTCTGCAGTCACTTTGTGTCTCTCTAAACACGAGGTTATCCAAACAGCTCCTCCTCTGCGTCACTTTGTGATGAAGATGAATTGACTTCCTGTCAGGGTGTGTGTGTGTGTGTGTGTGTGTGTGTGTGTGTGTGTGTGTGATAAACTCACATCTGTCCACAAATACACAGTTTTTGTGTAGTTTCAGTGATTCACTTAAGTTTAAATGTGGTTTAATAACATGATATATTAACGTGTGTGTGTGTGTGCAGAACTCTGACTACACCACAGGTCAGGTGTTTGACCTCTCAGAGAAGTTGGAGCAGTCGGAGGCTCAGCTCGGGCGCGGCAGCTTCATGTTGGGCCTGGACACGCACGACAGGAAGTCAGAGGACAAACTGGCCAAAGCAACACGCGACAGGTGAGAGTCATTATTATTATTCATTATTAAAAGAGCTTTCATTCCCCATGATTACTGTCTGTTTGTAGATGATAAAACATTTATTCATCTATTTATTATTATTTGTTACTACCTCTGTAAAGCGACTTTGAGCACCTGTAAAAGCGCTTACAAAATAAATGTATTATAATTTTGTTTGTTTTCTGCTCTAGTTGTTGATGTTTAACTTTAATTGATAAGATGCTCAGTGTTTCCCCTACCGTTGTCTTGGAGGGGCTGCACCCCGCCAACGGAGCCCCGCGCCCCCCCTGAAATTCAAGGTGTTTTAATATATATATATATATAGATATATATATATATATATATATATATATATATATAGCACCAAATTGCAACTAATCTCTATCTACTGGCACTCTTCACATTGAACATGTGCTCTTTTATTAAATAAACTAAACGCTTTCATTGTAAGTTGTGAGTTTAGTGTTTTTGACCCAAAGAAACACTGATGCCTTAATCAATAATCCACAGCTCCTCTCTCTGCTCCAGAGGCTTTAAAAAAATATATATCCAAATGCCACAATGCCAAATGATATGAGGCTCTGATGTGAGGCTCTGATATGAGGCTCTGATGTGAGGCTCTGATGTGAGGCTCTGATATTAGGCTCTGATATGAGGCTCTGATATTAGGCTCTGATATTAGGCTCTGATATTAGGCTCTGATATTAGGCTCTGATATGAGGCTCTGATATGAGGCTCTGATATGAGGCTCTGATATTAGGCTCTGATGTGAGGCTCTGATATTAGGCTCTGATATTAGGCTCTGATATTAGGCTCTGATATTAGGCTCTGATATGAGGCTCTGATGTGAGGCTCTGATATTAGGCTCTGATATTAGGCTCTGATATGAGGCTCTGATATGAGGCTCTGATATTAGGCTCTGATATTAGGCTCTGATATTAGGCTCTGATATGAGGCTCTGATATGAGGCTCTGATGTGAGGCTCTGATGTGAGGCTCTGATATTAGGCTCTGATGTGAGGCTCTGATATTAGGCTCTGATATTAGGCTCTGATATGAGGCTCTGATGTGAGGCTCTGATATGAGGCTCTGATATGAGGCTCTGATATGAGGCTCTGATATGAGGCTCTGATATGAGGCTCTGATATGAGGCTCTGATATGAGGCTCTGATATGAGGCTCTGATATTAGGCTCTGATATGAGGCTCTGATATTAGGCTCTGATATTAGGCTCTGATATTAGGCTCTGATATTAGGCTCTGATATGAGGCTCTGATGTTAGGCTCTGATATGAGGCTCTGATATGAGGCTCTGATATGAGGCTCTGATAGTGAGGCTCTGATATTAGGCTCTGATATTAGGCTCTGATGTGAGGCTCTGATGTGAGGCTCTGATATTAGGCTCTGATGTGAGGCTCTGATGTGAGGCTCTGATATTAGGCTCTGATATGAGGCTCTGATGTGAGGCTCTGATGTGAGGCTCTGATGTGAGGCTCTGATGTGAGGCTCTGATGTGAGGCTCTGATGTGAGGCTCTGATGTGAGGCTCTGATATTAGGCTCTGATATTAGGCTCTGATATTAGGCTCTGATGTGAGGCTCTGATGTGAGGCTCTGATATGAGGCTCTGATGTGAGGCTCTGATGTGAGGCTCTGATATGAGGCTCTGATGTGAGGCTCTGATGTGAGGCTCTGATATGAGGCTCTGATGTGAGGCTCTGATGTGAGGCTCTGATGTGAGGCTCTGATATGAGGCTCTGATATGAGGCTCTGATGTGAGGCTCTGATGTGAGGCTCTGATATTAGGCTCTGATGTGAGGCTCTGATATTAGGCTCTGATATTAGGCTCTGATATTAGGCTCTGATGTGAGGCTCTGATGTGAGGCTCTGATATTAGGCTCTGATATGAGGCTCTGATATTAGGCTCTGATGTGAGGCTCTGATGTGAGGCTCTGATATTAGGCTCTGATATGAGGCTCTGATATTAGGCTCTGATGTGAGGCTCTGATGTGAGGCTCTGATATTAGGCTCTGATGTGAGGCTCTGATATTAGGCTCTGATGTGAGGCTCTGATATTAGGCTCTGATGTGAGGCTCTGATGTGAGGCTCTGATGTTAGGCTCTGATATGAGGCTCTGATATGAGGCTCTGATATTAGGCTCTGATATGAGGCTCTGATATTAGGCTCTGATATGAGGCTCTGATATTAGGCTCTGATGTGAGGCTCTGATGTGAGGCTCTGATGTGAGGCTCTGATATTAGGCTCTGATATGAGGCTCTGATGTGAGGCTCTGATATGAGGCTCTGATGTGAGGCTCTGATGTGAGGCTCTGATGTGAGGCTCTGATGTGAGGCTCTGATATTAGGCTCTGATATGAGGCTCTGATATTAGGCTCTGATATTAGGCTCTGATATTAGGCTCTGATATTAGGCTCTGATATTAGGCTCTGATGTGAGGCTCTGATATTAGGCTCTGATATGAGGCTCTGATGTTAGGCTCTGATATGAGGCTCTGATATTAGGCTCTGATGTGAGGCTCTGATGTGAGGCTCTGATGTGAGGCTCTGATGTGAGGCTCTGATATTAGGCTCTGATATTAGGCTCTGATGTGAGGCTCTGATATTAGGCTCTGATATTAGGCTCTGATGTGAGGCTCTGATGTGAGGCTCTGATGTTAGGCTCTGATGTGAGGCTCTGATATTAGGCTCTGATATTAGGCTCTGATGTGAGGCTCTGATATTAGGCCCTGATATTAGGCTCTGATATTAGGCTCTGATGTTAGGCTCTGATGTTAGGCTCTGATGTTAGGCTCTGATATGAGGCTCTGATGTGAGGCTCTGATGTTAGGCTCTGATATGAGGCTCTGATATTAGGCTCTGATATTAGGCTCTGATATTAGGCTCTGATGTGAGGCTCTGATATTAGGCTCTGATATGAGGCTCTGATATTAGGCTCTGATATTAGGCTCTGATATGAGGCTCTGATATTAGGCTCTGATGTTAGGCTCTGATATGAGGCTCTGATATGAGGCTCTGATATGAGGCTCTGATATGAGGCTCTGATGTGAGGCTCTGATGTTAGGCTCTGATATGAGGCTCTGATATGAGGCTCTGATATGAGGCTCTGATGTGAGGCTCTGATGTTAGGCTCTGATATGAGGCTCTGATATGAGGCTCTGATATTAGGTTCTGATGTGAGGCTCTGATATTAGGCTCTGATGTGAGGCTCTGATGTTAGGCTCTGATATGAGGCTCTGATATGAGGCTCTGATGTTAGGCTCTGATATGAGGCTCTGATGTTAGGCTCTGATATGAGGCTCTGATGTGAGGCTCTGATGTGAGGCTCTGATATTAGGTTCTGATATGAGGCTCTGATATGAGGCTCTGATGTGAGGCTCTGATGTTAGGCTCTGATATGAGGCTCTGATGTGAGGCTCTGATATTAGGTTCTGATATGAGGCTCTGATATGAGGCTCTGATATTAGGTTCTGATGTGAGGCTCTGATATTAGGCTCTGATGTGAGGCTCTGATATTAGGTTCTGATGTGAGGCTCTGATATGAGGCTCTGATATTAGGCTCTGATATGAGGCTCTGATATTAGGCTCTGATATGAGGCTCTGATATGAGGCTCTGATATTAGGCTCTGATGTGAGGCTCTGATATGAGGCTCTGATATGAGGCTCTGATATTAGGCTCTGATGTGAGGCTCTGATATGAGGCTCTGATATTAGGCTCTGACACTTATGACAAACTTATCTCGTGCCCTCATTGGTCATGTGCGCGTTCGTGTGTGTTGGAGGAGGGGCTCTGTGAGGAAGTCTGAAGGAAGGGGCAGATTTGTTCCGGTTGTGTATTTTTAAATTCTAGCGCACTCGAGCTGGTTTCTCCATTCTTACCTACCCCACCTTTAAGAGGTTAAATGCTGGTTTTGATAATTTACTGGGATTTATTTCAGAATTGTATTATTTATTTAGTTTGGTCAGAGTGCATTAAAGGTCATCAGTAAAAACAATAATGTTATTTTTGTAATAAGTGAATGAATCGTGTGTTTCAGGTCTGTTTATCTTCATGTAACCAGGAGACCCTCATAGGGGTTACACATGTCTTCAATGACAGATCCAGATGAGAAACAGGAACATATGGATGATCTTTTGTAATAACTGAATGAATCCTGTGTTTTAGCTGCAAGACGACGATCGAGGCGATTCACGGCCTGATGTCTCAGGTGATTAAAGATAAACTCTTCAACCAGGTCAACACGTCTGCTAACTAAGAACTGATCCAGAGCCAGCAGCTGATCCAGATCAATACGTCTGCTAACTGATCCAGAACCAGCAGCTGATCCAGATCAATACGTCTGCTAACTGATCCAGAACCAGCAGCTGACCCCCTCTGAAGACCTGGTTCCTGTTCAGCACTCATGTCTAAATGCCCGGGTAGGATTATCTGTGGTTTCTGTTTTGAGATTAGGATTATCTGTGGTTTCTGTTTTGAGATTAGGATTATCTGTGGTTTCTGTTTTGAGATTAGGATTATCTGTGGTTTCTGTTTTGAGATTAGGATTAGCTAAACTTTGAAAACAGTGAAAATTCATGCAAGAAAAATAAAAAAAGTAAAACTGCTATTTGTCTTTATTTCATTCTCTTGAAAGAAAACATTTGCTGTTTAGTTTCCTATAATAAACGCTGTGATATTGAAGGTGGACGTGTGTGTGTGTGTGTGTGTGGAAACCTCTACTGCTTTAAATCCTCTTTATGCTCATATCTGGATTTATTACTTTCTTATTTAGCAAATCCTCACTGAGTGTCAAACTGCTGCTTCCTTATCCACTAAATGCTGTTCTTTATTTTTACTCTATTTTTAGCCATTTTTACTTTATTCTTAAAGGGCCCATGTCATGGCCATTTCCACTGATCATAATTACATTGTTGAGGTATACTAAAATAGATTTATACTGTGCAATTTTCCAAACTCACATTGGTTTCTCATACAGCATCTCTGTCAAGCATGTGTATTCAGCAGTATTCACTCTCTCCACTAAACGACTCGTTGGAGCTCTTGCCCCCCCCTCCCTGTGAGCCTAGTGTGCTCCGATTGGTCAGCTCGGCCACTCTGTTCTGATTAGTCAACCACCAGAGAGGCTCCGCCCATGTCTAACAGTGCTTTTAACGGCTGCTCTCAGCGGAACATCAGTCTTATAATGGCGTCGGTACAGCCGTATATTTTATACGCTAACTAACCGAACTGTACCTACAACTGTTGTTATAGAAGAGTGTGACGGCCCCAGGGCCTTTGTCTTACGATGGGGTGGAGCTGAAGAGGCTAATCAGCGCGATCACGGACACCTGGCCGGAGCCGAGGTGCTAGCCAGCTGCCCGGAGTCACACGGCGGCCCCTCTCTCTCTCCAAAGCGGCTCGGCGATCCTCTCCTCTCAACCACCTATCTCTGCATTTACCACAATAAATGTGCCGTGGTTTTGTAAACTCGTGTATGTCTCCTTGTCTTTCCGTTGTGGCCTACGAGCCGGTCATAACAAAGAGTAAGTTATTTTTACCTGTAATAAACTACTACTGTTTGATGAGAAATCAAATCATGGTTTGCTATATATGAATGATATGTTATAGGAGCAAATAATTCAGGGAAGAAAGGATAGGCCTACTAAGTATTTCCATTGAACTTTATTTTTAGAAATGTACAAAATGAACGTAAATATACATATATACACAGTATATCGTCAATTACTCCCCGTTGTCGGCATCTTGCCTGGGCGCAGCCGGGGCTTTTTAGGACGAGGCCTCAGTGTGGTTGTCCAGTCATGTATTGTCCGGCAGGATCTGGCTGGACGAAATCAAATGCAAATCACAAAATATTAGAGAAACTTAGTTGTTTTAGATTCGTTAGTAGTAGTTGAGGTAGGAGTGTGGATCTATCTAATCCATCTAATGAACAGCTTGCCTGCTAATATGCTAACCTAGCTTTGTTTACCTTGGTAGCTAACACGATATGAACGTTAGCTCGGAGGAACGGCAACTATAATGTAGAGTAATAAAACTACTATGAACAAAAGCTAGTGGTTCATATTAGGCTAGCAATAACGTGTTTATAATTGCAATCTTATACGGGTAGTCTGCCAAGTTCGGTCATACAATGTTTCCCGCTAGCATGTGTAGCTAGCCTCGTTAGCTATACATGCTATCAGTCCTTTGGGGGTCTGTGAGCGGGCAAAGAGAGGGGATTTTCTCCGAGCTAATATGAACATTAGCTCCGAGGAACGGCAACTATAATGGAGTGTAATAAAACTACTATGAACAAAAGCTAGTGGTTCATATTAGGCTAGCAATAACGTGTTTATAATTGCAATCTTATACGGGTAGTCTGCTACGTTCGCCCGGAGTATACTGTCTATGAGTATTTGGTGTGTGAATGCAGACATTCTCCTGCTATGAGATACATGTATGTAAGGCCATCTGCTGATATTAGAGTTGATATGGAAACGCTAGCAACTTAGTTAGCACAGTTAGCACTGGCTTAGCAGTCCGAAACATGTTTACACATTTAACCAGTCGTGGTAGATACCTTGTTTGATAAATACACAAATAACAATGCAAACTTACAGGTTGTGTACCAGAATCTTCCCCTGCTCCAAACGGTCCAATCAAACTAGGAATAGCATCGTCCTTCAGTTTCAAATGCTGTGCATATCCGGCCTCAAACTGGGCAATGTTTTGGAAGCTTTCGTCTGTGAAATGCCGCGCACACAGTAACGTTCTTCGAACCTCTCAAGGAACAGTGTTAAAAAGAAATTTCAACCACTGACTTCGTGGTGGTTCTTCCGTCGGTAGGACAAACAGCTCAGATTTCTCCTCACATTTCAGGAAACAGGTCCTTGGCAGTGGCATGACTGGATCGATTGTGAACTGAACCAGAGCTTCCAACAGTAAATGTTAGGCTGGCAGAGGGTGCGGCCAGCGCCGCTGGGTGTGACCATAGCTCTTCCGGATTGGTCCATTTCGTTCCGGGTACCGCATGACATCAGGCGGTACCCGGAAGAATCAAATGGGCAGTGACGTATCTCCAACGAGGCGTTTTGGGGAGGTCTTCTCTGTGTTAGAGTTTTACTCGCTACAGGGTGTACTTTGAGGGTTTTGACTCCGCACACCGTTTACATGCATAAAAACATTCATAACACAAGGGGACGGGTAATAACCGGAACAGCATGACATGGGAGCTTTAACATTTCCAATTTCCACTCGACATTTGGTCTTTATCGAAATCTCCCCTATTTCTTTACAATTAGCTCCTTTTTGGGTTTAGCACTATTTTAAAGGGAATACTTTAGCACTATTTTAAAGGGAATACTTTAGCACTATTTTAAAGGGAATACTTTAGCACTATTTTAAAGGGAATACTTTAGCACTATTTTAAAGGCACTATTTTAAAGGGAATACTTTAGCACTATTTTAAAGGGAATACTTTAGCACTTACACCTACTTTGAAGTCAAAGGAGTGTTGATGCTCCATCATGTTGAACATACACCGTGGCTGTGTTTTCCCGTCTGCTTTCTACTCCATTTTGATCTTTATTCTCAACATGTGGACTGAATAAATCTCCCTCCCCTCGTTTTTTATAACCCTTCTGTAGAAAAAGGGTAATTCTCCATGTAGAGTTATTTAAATCTTGATACTTTAACTTTATTCTGATGCCGATTCTTTACCCAAAGTAAGTTTTTCACTTTCCTTGTACCTCCTTTTTCTAAAGTCAAACAAGAGAGGGCTTGTTCTGCAACATTGTCTCTCCCTCGATGCTTGTTTCTCCCGAACATTTGAACACATCGTGGTGCATTAAGGCGTCACTCAGTGGCAGCAGCAGCAGCATTACATAATGGAACAACAAACCCTGTCCTCTGCAGAGACTCAGAGGTGTGTGTGTGTGTGTGTGTGTGTGTGTGTGTGTGTGTGTGTGTGTGTGTGTGTGTGTGTGTGTGTGTGTGTGTGTGTGTGTGTGTGTGTGTGTGTGTGTGTGTGTGTGTGTGTGTGTGTGTGTGTGTGTGTGATACAGTGCAGATACAGCCTCACACTGGAGGCCATTCACTGTCGATGTTCTGCTCTTCATCTCTGCAGAGAAACACCAACGCGGCTGCTGTCCGTTCTCATTTAGCTGGCATTGTAATGGCTGAATGTATATTTTTGATGTCGTGTTTCGCAGTAGAAATCATCCCGAGGGAAAAGGGTCTGTTTTCTGTCCCGTGCATGAGACCTGGCACCTCGTTCTATAATGATTTTTATATATATCTGATCTTTATGTCCTGCAGCGCTTTAGGAAACATATTAGATTATATGTCTTTTTGATTTAACAATATCTTTATTCCGTTTTTCATTTTTTACAACAATGACATCCACAAATACAGATATTAACAATGAGTGAATGAATGAGTTGGCGATCCATGCTTAATATACAACATTTTAATACTTATACGTAACCAACCAAGCGGCAAAAAAACAAAGACACACCAGGTGACCAAAAGAAATGTAATTAAATAACTGACAAGAAATAAAAAATGAATCAATTAAAATAATCAAATGCATTTAAAGACAAACATAAGGCACTCAGCAATACATCCATTTCTAATATTTACTTTGGAATACCACCGTTTCTCAAACTCTCCTTTTTATATTAGATTATATTTCATGTATTTGAAAATAGGGGTTTTTCTACTGAATAGCTCGGCCAGATATTTAAATACATTACATGCTTGACTGTGTGAAGTATTCAGAGTACGCACTTTTAAAGTTGATTTGAGGAATCAGCGGACACATTGAACTCGTTGCACATGTAAATATTGTGATTATCACCAGATGGACATTAGTATGCACGACTTAAAGTGGGATAGGAACATTTATGTAGAGTCAAATCGTGGGCAGCCAAAATAAATCTTGTATATTTCAGCTCAACATGAAGACATTAATATTTAAAAAGCCTGCGGAGGAATGCAGATCTGAAGGATAGAGCAGATTGATGAGGCTGCTGATTAATAGCTGTACATTATTAGGATCTAATGAGCAGATCTGGAGTGTTTTGTTATGCCCTCAGAGGGACTCAACCCCCCAAAAAACACACTTCCTCTCCGCCATGTGCTCCTGCATAAACGCTCCCCCTCTCTTACAGGAAACCAGGTCTCGACATCATCTAGATTAACACTGCAGGGGTCACTGAGGGAGGGGGTCCTGTGAGGGTCCTGTGAGGGTCCTGTGAGGCCTCTGGAAGATACTCAGAAATGCAGAAAATAATCACATAATGTCTTCAAAATGCAGCTTTCAGGCTCTAATAAGGGCGTTTCTGTGTTAAAAATCAACTTAAAGTGAATTATTGGGCCGTTTAAAGACTTCCAATGGACTTTTAACACTTCAAATGTTTCCCTATTTCTGACAAACCATTAACTTAAAAAAGAACCTGCAGATTAATATATTTTGTAAGTAATTGCAGCATATAGCTCATTTTTAAATGTGTTATTCCTATTACCTTCTGTGTACTCTTACCTGTCCCATCCTGTTATTCAATCTTATCCCTGCTTTAACACCTGTATTAACCTACAGGAATTAGCAAAGGTTTATCTAATTGTATCTTAAATAAATATCTGATTACAATGGTAACGTACAAAGACACCAGTTCCCAAATAGTGCATAACTGGTCTGTTTTTTAATACATACATGTAAAATAGTCTAAAAAGTGTGTAACACCCTTGTTGAATTATTGTCTTAACCTGTAGTAACTCGTGTATATATTTACATAAGTATTTCCCCTAAAAACGGTAACATTTATTCATGTTTTGCATCAAGAATCTGATGATCTCACTCTTCTGGTTTTTACAGTGAATCCTGTCACCCGTCAGATTCTGTGACCTTTACGTCGCTTTACGTCATCTCCATGGCAACATCAAACACAACACCTGACTCGTGGTTTAGCTAGCATCTAGTTAGCATTTCACCATGTCCTGGTTCTGGAAACATTTTGACATTATATTTACCTTTGTCTGGCTTTACGCACTTATTAACCAAACTAGATTGCTTATTTTTTACTCTCTGTATCGTATGACAGTGATGAAGTACCGGTCTCTGGAGAGGAGCTAGTCCGCTAGCCTTTAGCTCTTTATCAATCAGAGCCTCATCAGGTGAGGAACACACACACACACACACACACACACACACACACACACACACACACACACACACACACACACACACACACACACACACACATATAATTTTAATGAGAGAGTTCCTCAAATGAATGACAAAATATTAAGAAAGTGTATTATTATTATCTTTATTATTGTTTTGTATTATTTTTCATATATTAACTAATTGAGAATTTAGGACATTATTTGTAGATTTTATTTCATTATCCTAACATTTTAAGTCTTTATTTTTATTATTTCAACATGTTATTATTTTTAGATATTAAGTCTTTATTTTCTGGTATTCATTTACCATTTTTTGTTTACAGTGAATCCTGTCACCCGTCAGATTCTGTGACCTTTACGTCGCTTTACGTCATCTCCATGGCAACATCAAACACAACACCTGACTCGTTTTTTTACAGCAGTTTAGCTAGCATCTAGTTAGCATTTCACCCTGTTCTGGTCCTGGAGACGTTTAAACATTACATTTTGACGTCCTCTTCGTTGACGCATTTTTCAGGTTAGTTTTCCATCTTATTTTGTATTGTGTCCGTCTGTTGGTAGAGTCTGTGGAGAGGAGCTAGTCCGTTAGCCTTTAGCTGTTTATCGATCAGAGCCTCATCAGGTGAGGAACACACACACACACACACACACACACACACACACACACATACACACACACACACACACACACACACATCATTTTAATGAGAGAGTTCCTCAAATGAATGACAACATATTAAGAAAGTGTATTATTATTATTTGTATTATTGTTTTGTATTATTTTTGATATATTAACTAATTATTTTGAGAATTTAGGGCATTATTTGTAGATTTGATTTCATTATCTTAACATTTTAAGTCTTTATTTTGATATTATTTTAACATGTTATTATTTTTAGATATCAAGTCTTTATTTTTTTGGTATTCCATTTACCATTTCTGAGGCAAGATTATATTTTTTACCAGCTCTTTTTCCATCTTGTCCTGGTGAAAACGGGCTTCCATGATTTAAAATGATGTTTATTTGTTAAGTATAATGAATTGTGCCATCTCATGTCAGGTCAGGATAATAAACGACCCCCTGAATGAAAGGGCCAGCTGACCTTTAGCCTCTTAGCATGTTTCCTGGACAATAGTGATCTATATAAACCATCAATTACCCCTCAATGTGATTTGACATGAGCTTTAGAGTCCTGCACAGGGCTAATCTTCACCTGTCATTATGGTTATGACTACTGAAGGTAATGTGGCATTTTAAAACATATTTTCTAAGGAGTGTGTGTTTACCTGCCAGGTCTTTTTGTGTGTTTTCTCTGCAGCGTCTGCTGAACGCTCGGCTGCTTCTGAAAGGTTTCTTTCTGACAGGAGACACGATGGTGCGTCTCACCGTGGATCTCATCGCTAAATCTAGAAACCACTTCAAAAAGAAAAGAGGCCTTTCCTTCCCAGAGTACCTGAGGACGCTCACACACCTCCACTTCTTCAGCAAGAACATCGAGGACATAGTAAGAGCTTCAACTCTAGATTATCTTCCTCAGAGGAAGTAACTCAGTACCTCGGTGGAAGTCTTTCAAAAACAAACTCAAAACACATTTGTACAATTTAGCCGTTTAGGAAGTGAACTCCTGCTCTGCTGCACGCTCTCATTTCAACCTGTCCTCTGATTGGGTGTTTTCATTATCCTCCTTTTAATGCACCATTTCATCGTTGTACCTTTGATCTAAATGTATTTTGTATATGTCTAGTATATGCTACTTTTAGTTTGTATGTCTTTTACTGGTAACTGTATGCTGTGTGATATCAATGATCTGTGACATGTCTATGAACTGCACTTATTGTATGAAAGGTGCTAATAAAGATTAGTATTATTATTTACTCAAGTACTGTACTTAAGTACAATTTTGAGATACTTGTACTTTACTTGAGTATTTCCATGTTATGCCACTTCATACTTTTACTCAAGTACAAGATCTGAGTACTTCTACTTTTACTCAAGTACAAGATCTGAGTACTTCTACTTTTACTCAAGTACAGTGAGTACTTCTACTTTTACTCAAGTACAGTGAGTACTTCTACTTTTACTCAAGTACAAGATCTGAGTACTTCTACTTTTACTCAAGTACAAGATCTGAGTACTTCTACTTTTACTCAAGTACAATATCTGAGTACTTCTACTTTTACTCAAGTACAAGATCTGAGTACTTCTACTTTTACTCTAGTACAAGATCTGAGTACTTCTACTTTTACTCAAGTACAGTGAGTACTTCTACTTTTACTCAAGTACAGTGAGTACTTCTACTTTTACTCAAGTACAAGATCTGAGTACTTCTACTTTTACTCAAGTACAAGATCTGAGTACTTCTACTTTTACTCAAGTACAGTGAGTACTTCTACTTTTACTCAAGTACAGTGAGTACTTCTACTTTTACTCAAGTACAGTGAGTACTTCTACTTTTACTCAAGTACAAGATCTGAGTACTTCTACTTTTACTCAAGTACAATATCTGAGTACTTCTACTTTTACTCAAGTACAAGATCTGAGTACTTCTACTTTTACTCTAGTACAAGATCTGAGTACTTCTACTTTTACTCAAGTACAGTGAGTACTTCTACTTTTACTCAAGTACAAGATCTGAGTACTTCTACTTTTACTCAAGTACAAGATCTGAGTACTTCTACTTTTACTCAAGTACAGTGAGTACTTCTACTTTTACTCAAGTACAGTGAGTACTTCTACTTTTACTCAAGTACAAGATCTGAGTACTTCTACTTTTACTCAAGTACCAGATCTGAGTACTTCTACTTTTACTCAAGTACAAGATCTGAGTACTTCTACTTTTACTCAAGTACCAGATCTGAGTACTTCTACTTTTACTCAAGTACAAGATCTGAGTACTTCTACTTTTACTCAAGTACAAGATCTGAGTACTTCTACTTTTACTCAAGTACCAGATCTGAGTACTTCTACTTTTACTCAAGTACAGTGAGTACTTCTACTTTTACTCAAGTACAGTGAGTACTTCTCCTCCTCCTTGTTTCAGGGGGATCTCTCGATGTGTAGAAACCTCACCGTTCTCTACCTGTACGATAATCACATCTCACACATCTGCAACCTGGCCTTCGCCTGCAACCTCACACACCTGTACCTGCAGAACAACCACCTCACACACATGGACAACCTGCACAACCTGCAGAGGCTCAACAAACTGTGAGTACACACACCTGGACATGAACAACCACCTCACACACCTGTACCTGCAGAGCAACCACCTTACACACCTGTACCTGCAGAGCAACCACCTCACACACCTGTACCTGTAGAGCAACCACCTCACACACCTGTACCTGCAGAGCAACCACCTCACACACATGGACAACCTGCACAACCTGCAGAGGCTCAACAAACTGTGAGTACACACACCTGGACATGAACAACCACCTCACACACCTGTACCTGCAGAGCAACCACCTCACACACCTGTACCTGTAGAGCAACCACCTCACACACCTGTACCTGTAGAGCAACCACCTCACACACCTGTACCTGTAGAGCAACCACCTCACACACCACTGTACCTGTAGAGCACCACCTCAAACACCTGTACCTGCAGAGCAACCACCTCACACACCTGTTACCTGCAGAGCAACCACCTCACACACCTGTACCTGCAGAGCAACCACCTCACACACCTGTACCTGCAGAGCAACCACCTCACACACCTGTACCTGCAGAGGCTCAACAAACTGAGTACACACACCTTAAAGGGACTGTTCATGTAGTCTTGTACTTGTATGAGGTTGTACTCTCAGTGTGTTCTCTGGAGCAGATGCAGTGTGTATGAGGTTGTACTCTCAGTGTGTATGAGGTTGTACTCTCAGTGTGTATGAGGTTGTACTCTCAGTGTGTATGAGGTTGTACTCTCAGTGTGTATGAGGTTGTACTCTCAGTGTGTATGAGGTTGTACTCTCAGTGTGTATGAGGTTGTACTCTCAGTGTGTAATGAGGTTGTACTCTCAGTGTGTATGAGGTTGTACTCTCAGTGTGTATGAGGTTGTACTCTCAGTGTGTAGAAACAGAAAGGAAACGTAGTATTGACTCCTAATCTGTATCAGTTTCATGTATGCTATATCTGAAGTGTTTTCTCTTCTTTATCCTAACACTGTCTTTTCTCCAGGGAACTGAATATGTTATCAAAACACCACAAACTTACCAATCAATCAAGGCCATTTCTGTCTCTTTGACTAAATCTCAGAGGTAAATCTCAGAGCTCCCAGAGGACAGAGACAAAGCTAGAATAGGATGCATTGCTGCAGAATCAATACGTTACTGATAATACCTGTACATTATTAATATATCTAAAATAGGGGTTTTAATAGCAGGACTTTGACTTGCAAGCGAGTACAGTATAGCTTGTTGTAGGATGGGAGTACTCACTGGTGTCTCCTCAGGTATCTCGGAGGGAACAGGATCTTGGTGGTTGAAGGTTTGGAGAATCTTCCAGATCTGAGCGAGCTTCACCTGGAGAACCAGAGGCTGCACCCGGGGGAGAAGCTGCTCCTCGACCCCATGACCCTCCTCTGCCTCGCTGTGAGAACTATCTTTATTTTGATGTTATTGTAACATGTCATTATTTTTTAGATGTTAAGTTTTTCTTTTGAGGAATTATTATAAACAATGTAGAGTTCCTGCACTTTGTAAATGTGCCGTTTGAGAAGCAGGAGAAGCAGGAGAAGCAGGAGAAGCAGGAGGAGCAGGAGGAGCAGGTCTGACTTCGGACCGACAGAACAACAGCTCATTCTGTTCGGTGTGTTTTCTACGTTCTGGATAATAAACAACAACATCTTCTCTGCACAGGAATCTCTTTGCGTCCTAAACATCAACAACAACAACATCGATGACATCAGAGACCTGACGGTGCTGAAGGAGCTCCGACATTTCTCTGCTGCGGACAACAGACTAAACAATCTGGAGGTAAACACAAATATCTCTACTTAACCCAGAGGTGAGACTGAATGTACACGATGTACACGATGTACACGATGTACACGATGTACACGATGTACACGATGTACACGATGTGCACGATGTGCACGATGTGCACGATGTGCACGATGTGCACGATGTGCACGATGTGCACGATGTGCACGATGTACACGATGTACACGATGTACACGCACGATGTACACGATGTACACGATGTACACGATGTGCACGATGTACACGATGTACACGATGTACACGATGTGCACGATGTGCACGATGTACACGATGTACACGATGTACACGATGTACACGATGTGCACGATGTGCACGATGTGCACGATGTGCACGATGTACACGATGTGCACGATGTGCACGATGTGCACGATGTGCACGATGTACACGATGTACACGATGTACACGATGTGCACGATGTACACGATGTACACGATGTGCACGATGTGCACGATGTACACGATGTACACGATGTACACGATGTGCACGATGTACACGATGTACACGATGTGCACGATGTGCACGATGTGCACGATGTGCACGATGTGCACGATGTACACGATGTCACGATGCGCACGATGCGCACGATGCGCACGATGCGCACGATGCGCACGATGCGCACGATGCGCACGATGCGCACAATGTACACAATGTGCACAATGTGCACATTGTGCACATTGTGTACATTGTGCACAATGTACATAATGTACACAATGTACACAATGCACACAATGTACACAATGTACACAATGTACACAATGTGCACAATGTGTACATTGTGTACATTGTGCACAATGTACATAATGTACACAATGTACACAATGCACACAATGTACACAATGTACACAATGCACACAATGTACACAATGTACATTGTGCACAATGTACATTGTGTACATTGTGCACAATGTACATTGTGTACATTGTGTGCATTGTGTACACAATGCACACAATGTACACAATGTACACAATGCACACAATGTACACAATGTACATTGTGCACAAATGTACATAATGTAGCACAATGTAGCCATGCAGCACAATGTAGCACAATGCACACATGTACACAATGTACACAATGTACACATGTACACAATGTACACAATGTACATAATGTACACAATGTACACAATGTACATTGTGCACAATGTACATAATGTACACAATGTACACAATGCACACAATGTACACAATGTACACAATGTACATAATGTACACAATGTACACAATGTACATAATGTACACAATGTACACAATGTGCACATATTTTATTCCATCAAATATCAATGTAAATACTGCAATAATAATAATACATTTAATTTCCAAGCGCTCTTCCAGGTGCTCAAAGACGCTTTGCAGTGAAAACGAGATCAAATAGAATAAACAATTATTAAAACAGCAACACAACATCATTCACAAATTAAAAGAAACAAACTATCTAAAGATATACTAACTCTGGATGGCATTCATTTGGCCTCCAGTGAGACTGTGAGGAACCTTGGTGTTCCAGTGAGACTGTGAGGAACCTTGGTGTTCCAGTGAGACTGTGAGGAACCTTGGTGTTCCAGTGAGACTGTGAGGAACCTTGGTGTTCCAGTGAGACTGTGAGGAACCTTGGTTTTCCAGTGAGACTGTGAGGAACCTTGGTGTTCCAGTGAGACTGTAAGGAACCTTGGTGTTCCAGTGAGACTGTGAGGACCTTGGTGTTCCAGTGAGACTGTGAGGAACCTTGGTGTTCCAGTGAGACTGTAAGGAACCTTGGTGTTCCAGTGAGACTGTGAGGAACCTTGGTGTTCCAGTGAGACTGTGAGGAACCTTGGTGTTCCAGTGAGACTGTGAGGAACCTTGGTGTTCCAGTGAGACTGTGAGGAACCTTGGTGTTCCAGTGAGACTGTAAGGAACCTTGGTGTTCCAGTGAGACTGTGAGGAACCTTGGTGTTCCAGTGAGACTGTGAGGAACCTTGGTTGTCCAGTGAACTGTGAGGACCTTGGTGTTCCAGTGAGACTGTGAGGAACCTTGGTGTTCCAGTGCGACTGTGAGGAACCTTGGTGTTCCAGTGAGACTGTGAGGAACCTTGGTGTTCCAGTGAGACTGTGAGGAACCTTGGTGTTCCAGTGAGACTGTGAGGAACCTTGGTGTTCCAGTGAGACTGTGAGGAACCTTGGTGTTCCAGTGAGACTGTGAGGAACCTTGGTGTTCCAGTGAGACTGTGAGGAACCTTGGTGTTCCAGTGAGACTGTTGAGGAACCTTGGTGTTCCAGTGAGACTGTGAGGAACCTTGGTGTTCCAGTGAGACTGTGAGGAACCTTGGTGTTCCAGTGAGACTGTAGGAACCTTGGTGTTCCAGTGAGACTGTGAGGAACCTTGGTGTTCCAGTGAGACTGTGAGGAACCTTGGTGTTCCAGTGAGACTGTAAGGAACCTTGGTGTTCCAGTGAGACTGTGAGAACCTTGGTGTTCCAGTGAGACTGTGAGGAACCTTGGTGTTCCAGTGAGACTGTGAGGAACCTTGGTGTTCCAGTGAGACTGTAAGGAACCTTGGTGTTCCAGTGAGACTGTGAGGAACCTTGGTGTTCCAGTGAGACTGTGAGGAACCTTGGTGTTCCAGTGAGACTGTGAGGAACCTTGGTGTTCCAGTGAGACTGTGAGGAACCTTGGTGTTCCAGTGAGACTGTGAGGAACCTTGGTGTTCCAGTGAGACTGTGAGGAACCTTGGTGTTCCAGTGAGACTGTGAGGAACCTTGGTGTTCCAGTGAGACTGTGAACCTTGGTGTTCCAGTGAGACTGTGAGGAACCTTGGTGTTCCAGTGAGACTGTGAGGAACCTTGGTGTTCCAGTGAGACTGTGAGGAACCTTGGTGTTCCAGTGAGACTGTGAGGAACCTTGGTGTTCCAGTGAGACTGTGAGGAACCTTGGTGTTCCAGTGAGACTGTGGAACCTTGGTGTTCCGTGAGACTGTGAGGAACCTTGGTGTTCCAGTGAGACTGTGAGGAACCTTGGTGTTCCAGTGAGACTGTGAGGAACCTTGGTGTTCCAGTGAGACTGTGAGGAACCTTGGTGTTCCAGTGAGACTGTGAGGAACCTTGGTGTTCCAGTGAGACGCCCACATAACTCAATCTAAAGGACCTTACTTTCATCTACGCAACATTGCAAAGATCAGGCATATCTTGCCTCCAAACGATGCAGAGAAACTAGTCCATGCATTTGTCATCATAATGAAGTGCTTTGAGCGGTTAGTCAAATTATTCATCACCTCCTCCCTCCCTGAATCTCTGGACCCCCAGTTTGCCTACAGAGCAAACAGGTCCACAGACGACGCCATAGCCCTCACCCTCCACACTGCCCTCTCACACCTGGACCCGAAGAACAGGAACACATATGTGAGAATGCTGTTCATTGACTACAGTTCAGCATTCAACACCATTGTGCCCTCCAAGCTGGCCATCAAGCTCAGAGACCTCGGGCTCAACAGCGCCCTCTGTGACTGGATCCTGAACTTCCTGACGGGCAGACCCCAGGCAGTGCGGGTGGGAAACATCACATCCTCCACCCTGATTCTAAACACCGGTGCCCCTCAAGGCTGCGTGCTCAGCCCTCTCCTCTACTCCCTGTTCACCCACGACTGCGTGGCCACACACAGCTCCAACACCATCGTGAAGTTTGCTGATGACACGACCGTCATCGGCCAGATCACAGACGATGACGAGACGGCGTACAGAGAGGAGGTCGAAAACCTGACATCTTGGTGCCAGGAGAACAACCTCCATCTCAACATCAGCAAAACAAAGGAGCTGATTGTGGACTAACAGGAAGCACAGAGAGAGGGACACGCCCCCATCGCCATCAATGGGACTACGGTGGAGAGAGTCAGCAGCTTTCAGGTTCCTTGGGTCCACATCACTGAGGACCTGACATGGTCTCTTCACACCACCACCATCACCAAGAAAGCTCGACAGCGGCTCTTCTTCCTCCGCAGGCTGAGGAGGTTCAAAATGGATTCCAGGATACTCTGCAACTTCTACAGGTGCACCATAGAGAGCATCCTCACTGGCAGCATGACGGCCTGGTACAGCAGCTGCACCGACCTCGATCGTAAGGCTTTACAGAGGGTGGTGAAAACTGCACAGCACATCACCAGGACGGAGCTGCCATCCATGGAGGACCTTTACTCCCAGCGGCTCAGGAAGAAATCACTACGGATTATCAAAGACCCCCATCACCCCAGCCACAAACTGTTCTTTCTGTTGCCGTCTGGCAGACGTTACCGCAGCAATCCGGGCAAGGACAAGAGATTCGGAGACAGTTTCTTCCCGCGGCAGTGAGACTGTTAAACAATTGAACTGTTGAAACAACTTCAAACATTCAACTGCTACTCAGTAGTATGTATCTAATACCTAATATATATATCATTCCAATAACTTGTATATAGACTCATACTGCACTATTCCACATCATAACTTTATTTCATTTTTATAACTATTATTATTTTTGTATTGCTCTTGCTCTTATTGTTATTATGTTATGTTATTATGTTGCATTGTTGGAGAAGCCTGTGACATAAGATTTTCAACTGCATAATTACTCTGTAGCTATGTCAGATTGACAATAAAGAACCTTGAACCTTGAACCTTGAACCTTGTTACTTCAAGGCTGGATTATTGTAACTCTTTATTATCAGGGTGTACCAAGAAGTCAGTGAAGTCTCTTCAGCTGATTCAAAATGCTGCAGCTCGTGTACTAACCAGAGTTAGGAAAAGGGACCACATTACTCCTGCTCTGGCTGCCTTACACTGGCTCCCTGAAGAACACAGGATAGCATTTACAACTCTTCTTCTCGCCTACAAAGCCCTTAATGGGCAGGCGCCATCTTACCTTAAATAACTCATTATACCCTACTGGCCTACTAGGGCACTGCGTTCCTAGAATGCAGGGTTGTTGGTTGTTCCTAGAGTCTCTGAAAGTACAATGGGAGCCAGAGCCTTTTCTTATCAAGCTCCACTTTTGTGGAATCAGCTTCCAGTTTGTGTTCGGGCGGCAGACACCCTATCTGTTTTTAAGAGTGCGCTGAAGACCTTCCTTTTTGATAAAGCTTATAGTTGATACAATAATCTAATAAGAGTGCATTGACGTAGACACGTTGTGCCTCTTCACCTATACATCTTAGTTCTTACTCTTTTCCCTCACTGATGGTATGTCATCTGGTTGTG